CCACCAAAAATGGTTTTTCTTTTACTTAGGTTACCAGGACCCAAACATCTAGTATTACTGCTGCCCCTAATGATGACATAGTACACACAGGACTAAAAAATAAGTCATTGTTCAACCCCCAAGTAAGTAATAACAATCAGATTGAGGTTTTTCAAAAAAATGTATTGACATGGACATTAAGTCAAATTGAGCTTTACAAAAGGAATACAGAATAAGGGCTCAGGCTATTGGTATCAGCAGATTGAAAAAAGAAATGACATCATCATAGGCCAGCAGACAAAGGTGGGGGTGGGTATAGTGATTTTAACTAAGACTAAATATGAAAAACAAATGGAAGTACATCTAAATGATCGAGCCACATATTTTAACCTTACCTACAAGATCCTACTAATGTGTATAAAAAAGACCTGACTAAATTGATTGAGAAAGGAAAAGCCAAACAAATATTAAATAAGAAAGAGGACTAAGTAACTTTAATATCCAGAAGTGTGCAGGATACCCGTTTATATACATGGTACCGAAGATCCACAACGATCCAGATAACTCCACCTGGGAGCCCATACATAGGTCAATGGGGATAGATTCTGTCATGGCCAGGAATGTGGGACAGTATGAAGATTATTATTCAACATACCTTTGGTGTTATTAAAACCTAAGGCCTATTTAAGAGATTACCAAGCATCTCATCCAATGTTTAGAGAAATGTTAAAGGATGCAATCAATTGGTGTTTAGCAAGTGCAGAATGTATCAATCCTCTAATACGATTCCTTAACAACCACACCGAAGATCATAAAATCCCCCCCCCCCCCCCCCTGAAAGGATTGCAATCACTTTCAGTTTAATTGGAGTCTGAGAGAGCTCAGCCAATAATAAATGTTCCCTAGAGGAGATACATCACGGAATGTCACGCGTCTTGTCATATCCCACCACTACTTTTTGGTATAACGGAGTCTTTATAAACAAATCAGAGGTGTAGCCCATGGGTGCTTAGATTTGCTCCATGTGAGGCAAACCTGTTTATGGCCCACTGGGAGGAAGAGTCCGGACTATACCATTACCCATCAAAACCATCCCACCCCACCTAACCCATAACATTAACCCTCTCTTAATATTTCCAATACTTTTCCTTATCCTAACCAATATCTAACATGCTTACACTAACAGCTATTAATATCCACTTAGAAAACAACACCTATACATTTAGTTACACTTGCAGATCACAATAATAGGTACAATAAGTACTATCCACACTATTTGACTATCAAACCACTCCCAACCATAAATACATACTCTCTCCCATTTAAAACCCCTAGTACTATGCCTATTAACCCCCCCAGTCAGTTTAATATACCCATGTTGCCACATCTACGGTGAACCTCCGTACTTGTCGCTGACTTGCACTCACTTAATATAAATGTCAGAAGCTATCTTGTAACGCCCGTGGCACACACATAGTCAGTGTGAACCCAATCAGTAGTGATGAGCTTTGCAGTCACTCCCACCGATACCATTTCGTCTCATCTCCTCCAGACCACAGTGACAGCTTTGTACACTGAGTTGCTCTAGTCCTAGTTCTACAGACCGTTCAACACTGCACCAAGACTGTGTCATCTAGATCTATCCTATCGTAATACCACAATCTATCTCTATCACCATGGCTCTAAATGTGCATCACCTCCTATTCAACTTCTGTTGCACGTCTCCATAGCTCTCTCCCAGTATCCTATTTCACCGTATGATTTATATCTAGCTAGACCTGTACAACCACAACAATTCTGGTGCCATATCAGATTGTACAGCGCAGTCCAATAGTATATGTATACACATAGAATCTTCTCCTTGAACTCATCTCCGCACCACGCACCTGTCCTACTGGTACACTGACCACCCTCAATCTTCGTAGCTATCCACCCCCGTTGTGTGTGGGACATGGGGGGGGGGGGGGGGGGAAACATTGTCTGAAGCGAATGCGTGTCAATACGCCTCCACTGTGTCTTAGGAATGTACCTTTTGACGTTTGTAAAACACTGTAAGTCACGTATACATTCGCGCACCGTTGTCCCTGTTCTCTCTATTATCTGTTGTCCGCTACTCTCTATATCTCCTCGAGTCCTCGCACTCCATATCTCTCTCTCGTTAATCATCACTACACACCACTCGCACAGTGCTGATCTATACTGATCTCCGCATTAAGGGATGCTTTGTATTAGCTCATTGAGTGTCACTAGATGTCGTTCGATTGTCACTGCCCTGTCACCTTTCAGTCGCTGATTGATATACAAATTACAACGTCGTGAATGTCTCTGGCACACCTGATCCCCGCCCTCCTTGGTCGACCTTGAGAAATTAATTCCGTGTCTCTCTCTCTACCCCGACGACACTGCTACTAGCCAGCGCATGCGTTGCCTCTCCATGGGTCACAAGAGCTTTCTCGTGTCGTAGACTCACACTCTCGTACAGTAACTTCTGTAAGCAGTGAGATAAGGATCAAGTGCTCTCCCCGCTCCTGGTCCTTTATAGGTAGTGTGTGATAGAGCGTGAATCATAGTGATACCTGAGCTGAGGACGACCATACAGTCCATCAGCTCGCTATCGACAGGCCAAGATCGGCGTCTAGCTATGAGTAGTAGGATGTTCACTCAGGTATCTCAGTCTATCGGACAGCGTCCCGCCATGTCAGCGCCTATAACTATCCGTTTTTGATTTAGGAAAGAAAAGCAGTTCTCTCCCTGCCCCTTATCTCAAGATGCGATTGTGACTGAATTAGTAGTGGTATCTTGAGTTGATGTATGCGAGGCCTCTGTTCTGGGTATTGTGTTATTGTGTGTTATTCACATAACCTCTGAATGTTCCACTATGAAGGGCCGCGACCTGGTATTTTTCTGTGCAGAGAGTTATGTCCTGTTCCTTAGCTCTGAGTTAGCTGTGACATACTATTATAGATGATTGAATCTTTTCTGCCATAGTTGTCTCTAGCGGTGTTTGTTGTGCCAGACAAAGTAGTGTAGTCTGGGACCTCTGTATTCTTGTTCGCAGAAGATAAGTAGAGAGACGCGACGCGCTCTAACTCGTATGATTTGAGGGGGTGGGGGGGGGGGGGGGGTGGGGGGGATGATATGGGGGGGAGGCTAGAGTGTGTGTTCGCCGCAAACTCTTACTCTACCGTTGATGTATTGAGATTTTTCACGCAAGATTAGTGTGGAGGAGGATTGAGTCTATTGCCTAGATGTGTTGCGCTGCTACATAATGGTAAGTGTATACTGGCGCTCAGCGAGGGCTTTTAGGTATATGATGGCGTTGCACACAGATTTGCTATGTATGTAGAGGTTTGTGAGAGCATGTAGACTCGCGTGGATGCTCTTAATTAAGACAGAGCGTTCACCTACGTGGCCCACTGATATTCATTTGCCTCTGCACACCTATTCAGGCTATGTGTAAGTAGAAGATCGACGGGCTACAAGAACATGGCCGCCGTGACCACTTCCAGCGGGTCACGATTGGAGGAAAGGCTGGCCTATTTAAGTGAGTGCTATAGACCAATCACGTCAGTCCTGAGGAAGTCACGGGGTCACGTGACGCAACGCGTCGACGGCAATACGTGGTGACGCACTTCCGGCGCGGCGCCATCTTGGTACACCCTCAGCCACACGCATACACCCATGCTATGGGAAACAGCTTGTATGTTATTTGGCAAATGTGAGTGTATTATACATTTATTTTCCGGCATTTATTAAACGGTTTTTTTACACTATGGAGGATGTCTTTTGCTTCCTTTATCCCATGGGGGCTTGAGCTGGGGTGCATCCTGCTCAGCTCACCTCGGAGGATACCACAGGAGAGGTGGAAGCTGTATACTGGGGATATACCAACCATCCACTCAAGAAGAAGCATACCTTGACTCAGTGGGGATCTGATAAAGCTCTGTGGCCCTGCAGGGTCGCAGGGAGGAGGTGAGAGGCCACTTCAGCTGATTTCGGATTGCACGTGGTGGTGTGCGGGCCCACATACAGTCCAAGGACTCTGTTTGAGTGCAAATATTGATACAGGATCACTGGACTTTATATTCATATATGTGCACTGTGTGTAGGGGGTTACACATCTGTTTTCCATTTTGTCAGTATCATCACGCACATATATGTATTATGTTCATATAGGATTTTAACATCATGCTGCATGTCCTAAGGCACTGACGCTTTTACTGGGTGTTTTAGCGCTACATCATTTGTATTTCTTCTATATTGTTTCAGGGGATGCCAAAAATCTATCTTAGTGCAGACTTGTGGGAAAATCAGTGAGCCAATCACACAAGCAGGAAATTACATTTCTGGAGGACGATCTGTACACCATCTGTGTACAGAATACCTCCAGGTAGCCATATCAAAGTGCATTTTACAGAAAATTACAGCGTTGCAGGTTGAAAAGGAAAGGTAATGAAGGGTCAAGGTCAGGGTCAAAAGGTCAGGGTCAGTATATTTTGAGCAGGATTTTTTTTTTTAAATTAGTATCATTGTCAGTTAGTGTCAGTGTCAGTGTGTTTTAGGTAGGACAAAAGAAATAGCAAAATGCACACTATTGTTTCTGGGCTGTACAATGGGTACAAACAACAAATAACATACACATATGTGGCATCACTGCGATCCTCAAGAGCAGGAGAATTTATTTTGGGCTGTTCTTTGGTGGTAGATAATGGTAGTAACAAGAAATATACAGCTAAATTTAAAAATAACCCAAATTAGTTTATAACCAAAAATTATATTTTGTAAACATTTTTTTTTAAATTATTTTTATTTTTTTATATTATTATTTATTTATGTTTTTTTTTTTTACATACTGTCACCCTAGCAGTACAGTATCACCATGGTGACACTGTACTACTTGTGGGGTGATGAAGATTTTTTTTTTTTTTTTACACTGATTGCTTTTACACCCATAAAGGCTGTAAAAGCAATCATTCCTCCTTCTCTCTAGCTGCATTCTTGCAGAGATTGAGAACTACTCTGTGAGCTGTGATTGGTCACAGCTTGTCACATGGTACAAGGCTGTTGTGAATAGCCTTGTACCATGTGATCTCTGTGATCATTCACAGATTTCACACGTAGTAAGCAATGATGTCAGAAGTGACATCTTGCTTACTACTCTGCATGTGATCACTGATTGGCCAATCAGTGATCACATGATCGGGACCTCGCAGAGAGGTCCCGTCCAACGATCGGTGTTCCACTGTGTCCCGAGAACACAGCGGGCATCGGATCGTGGTGCTGCGCACTTCCAGGGAGCGCCTACAAGCAGGGTGCGGGGAGGCCGCCCGACCCTGCACTGCCACCGTCCGGCCGTTTATATACAACAGCAGGACGGGAGGTGGTTAATAATAAAAAAAAAAATCAGGAGATATCCATTACCATTCACAACCAAAGAAAGCCCAATTTGACCTGAAAAAAAAACAAGTATAACTCACCTGGATGTACAAAGTAGTTGTGATGATATGTATGGATTTACTGACACAAGTTGCAAAATTGTGCTTAGGCATTAGGATTTGTTTTTCCCTTAGGCATGAATTGGTTAACCAACAGAAGCAAGGATTGGGTACTTGAAGATACAGTTTTTACTTCAAATAAAATAAAAAACATCTCCCAGCTTTCTAAATATCAATGTTTTGGTGGGTAAGAAAATTAGGTTTCTAAAGTAATTAGATTGCTAGAGTATATTAAACTGGGATTGATTAACTAATAGAAAAGAGACTGTTCACTTTGCAACGTAAATGATAGTAACAGTTTCACCTTATTTACTAAATTCAAACATTAACTTTTCTACGGCCTGAACAGTCTCTATTCCTTCAGTAAATCAACCCCTAGAGTACATTGTAATTTGAGGCATTTTTACTTATTTATTACTACATTATAATTTATAAGGTTCTTTATTTTTTACACATTACACATTTACAGACCAGATAGAAAGCTGTTCATATCAGTTCTTGTTTAGTAGAGCCTTTAAGCTCACATACTGTTAAATCGTAATTGTGCAATTCCTGTACAATCGTCTTTAGATTTACCATCATTTTGCAATACAAATGTCTACCTATAACTAGGGCTGCCTGGCTGGTCACCAACATGACCTTCTTTTCTGGAGAAGCAAGAATGCATAGTGGAAGTGGGGTGCAGAGTGATGGAACTCTATTCACTTTCCAGAACTCAGTACTGCCTATTGGGAGGACTGATCACAGTTTGTCAGGACTAATATAGTTGTTGCCTGATGAGGAGGAAAAAGGTAGGGCATAAATATCTGTTCAGGTATGTTACCATGTGAATACCATTGAAGGGACAGTACTCATTGCTGCCACTGCCACTAAACACCAATGAAGGGGATGGGGATATTTTTACTGCCACTGAAAAAATAATGAGGGGAGTTGTAATTACTGCCACTGATAATGAACACAAATGAAGGACCAGGAAGGTTAATAAACACCAATGAAGAGTGGGTTATTGTTGCTGCCACTGCCACAGAACACTAATGAGGGGAGTTGTAATTACTGCCACTGATAATGAACACAAATGAAGGGCTGGGAAGGTTAATAAACACCAATGAAGAGTCGGTTATTGTTGCTGCCATTGTCAGAGAACATTAATAAAAGGTTCAGGGTATCATTACTGGCACTGACAAGAAGCACCAGTGAAGGGGGGAGTGGGGTATTACTGCCACTAGCAATGAACACCAATGAGGGGGGTATTTATTATTATCACTGATACCAGTGAAGGGGGGTTATTATTGCTGCCACTATCACTGAATAGCAAAGGAAGGGGGATGTACACGAGGCGTGTGCGCTCGTGTACATCCCGCTCCCATGTTACTTTCCTCACCCTTCTTCTTCTCCTAACCTCTGGGGATATCTCCTCAAACCCTGGTCCTTCACTATCTTACTCCCACACCAGGCATCCACTTTCTTCTAGGAATAGCCGCAATCCCCTCAATTTAATATCAGTCCCTGTGCTCGCAAAAACCACCCTCCCTTTTTCATGTGCACTCTGGAATGCTCACTCTGTGTGTAATAAGCTCACCTCTGTCCATGACCTTTCCCTTAACCTATTAGCAATTACAGAAACCTGGCTCCAAACAGCAGATTCTGCTTCCCCCCCGCAGCACTTTCCTATGGAGGCCTCATCTGGCCCCACTCACCCAGACCCAGTGGTCAGAAAGGTGGTGGGGTTGGTTTGCTTCTATCCCCACTGAGCACCTTTCAAGTCCTCCCTAACCCTCCCTCTCTATCCTTCTCTTCTTTCAAGACTCACTGCATCCGGCTGTTCTCTCTCATTTCTCTGAGGATTGCAGTAATCTATCTGCCTCCTGGACCGGTGTCCCGCTTTCTTCATGATTTCTCCGCCTGGCTACCCTACTTTCTCTCCTCTGAACTAACCGCTATCATTCTCGGAGATTTTAACATCCCCATTAATGTCAACAACCCGGCTACATCCCAACTCCTCAACATAACCTCATCTTTTGCATTAGCACAGTGTATACAGTCCTCCACTCACTCTGATGGGAATACATTAGACCTTGTTTTCTCCCATCTTTGCACTCCCTACAACCTCACAAACACCCCCTTTCCTCTCTCTGATCACAATTTCATCACCTTCATAGTCTCCTCGTCTTCAAACACTTATCCTTCCAAGCAGCAAACAATTACCCGCAGAAACCTTCACAACTTGAACCCTGCTCCTTTCCATTCTGCAACTGACCGCCTCTATGACAGAATCTCTCCCCTGTCCTGCCCTGGCCACTGCTGTCTATAACAGTTCGCTTTCATCCACATTAGACTCACTTGCTCCTCTAACAACACAAGCATCAGGCCCCGACAATTACAACCTTGGCAGACTGACCACACCAGAAATCTTAAACGACATAGTCGTGCGCTGGAGCGATTGCAGTGTAAAACCAGATCCCACCAAGCATTCACCCTATATAAATCTGTTTTCTTAACATACAAGTCCTGCTGCCAAACAAGCCTACTTTGTCACTCTTATTAATACCTTCTCATCCAGTCCTCGTCGTCTCTTCTCTACTGTTAACTCTCTACTTTCTCCACCTCCACCCAGTACCTCACTTACTGCTCACGAGATTGCAAATCATTTCAAAAACAAGATTGACGCAATTTGTAGGGGCATCGCCACTGCACAGATATCCATCCCACTTAGCATACCTTATACTAATCCTCCCTCAACACTTTCCCCTTTTGACCTTGCTACTACCGAAGAGGTCACTAAGGTTTTCTCAGAAGCCCGTCTCACTACCTGCCCCCTCACAACTACTACGGTCACCCTCTTCTTCCATCCTATGCTCCCTCACTCACATCTTCAATCTTTCCCTCTCTGCTGGTGCCTTCCCCTCCCCTCTAAAGCATGCACACATCACTCCCATACTTAAAAAGCCCTCCCTGGACCCCACCAAACTGAACAACTTAAGACCCATCTCCCTGCTGCCATTTACCTCTAAACTCCTAGAACGCTTAGTCTACAATCGCCTGAGCTCCCACCTCACCGACAACAATCTTCTTGACCCTTTACAGTCTGGCTTTCGCTCACTACATTCCACTGAAAATGCCCTACTAAAACTCACTAGTGATCTACTAACTGCTAAAACCACTACTCCATACTCTTACTACTTGATCTCTCTGCGGCTTTTGATATGGTTGACCATCCTCTCCTCCTCAGAAAACTCCACTCTCTTGGCCTCAGAGACTCTGATCTCTCCTGGTTCTCCTCCTACCTATCGCAGCGCTCCTTCAGTGTTACCTATAATGTTGCCTCCTCCTCTTCACTCCCTCTTTCTGTAGGGGTCCCTCAAGGTTCTGTCCTTGGACCCCTTCTCTTCTCCATCTACACCTCCTCCCTTGGTCACTTAATAAACTCCCTACGGCTTTAAGTACCATCTCTGTGCTGATGACACACAAATCTATCTTTCTACCCCTCACCTCACCCTTTCAGTCTCCTCTCGCATTACTAACCTACTAAGTGACATATCGGCATGGATGTCACTCCATTTCCTCAAACTCAATCTTTCCAAAACTGAGCTCTTAGTATTCCCCCCAGCCCGTACCCCGCTCCCCTGACTTCTCCATCAAGATCAATAACACAATCTTCAGTCCCTCCCCTCATGCCAGGGTACTAGGTGTAATCCTAGACTCCTATCTGTCCTTTCAGCCCCAAATCCAATCACTGTACAAATCTTGTAGACTTCACCTCCGCAACATCTCCAAGATACGCCCGTTCCTAATCTCGGAAACCCCTAAGCAACTTATTCACTCCCTTGTTATATCTCGCCTTGACTATTGTAACTCCCTCCTCATTGGCCTACCTCAACGCAGGCTATCCCCTCTTCAGTCTATCATGAATGCTGCTGCCAGAATCATCCACCTTACTAACCATTCTGTATCTGCCACCCCTCTCTGCCAATCCCTCCACTGGCTTCCCATTGCCCAACGGATAAAATTCAAAACACTAACAATAACATATAAAGCCATTTATAACTCTGCCCCAAATTACATCACCGATCTTGTCTCTAAATATCACCCAAACCTTACTCTCCGCTCCTTGCAAGATCTCCTACTCTCTCCCTGTCTCCTCCTCCCATGCTCGTCTCCAGGACTTCTCCTGAGCTTCCCCCATCCTCTGGAACTCTCTACCCCAATTTATCAGACTATCGCCTACTTTGCTCACTTTTAGGCGATCTCTGAAAACCTATCTCTTCAGGGAAGCCTATCCTGCCCTCAGTTAATACTGGAATCTTCTACTCTTCCAACCAGTCCATCCCCCCCACGGTTACTACCTTTTGTACCACTAGCCCCTCCCTCCTAGATTGTAAGCTCCAAGGAGCAGGGCCCACAAATCCCTCTTGTATTGAACTGTATTGTTGCTGTATTGTATCCCTTTATATTGTAAAGCACTGAGCAACTGTTGGCGCTATATAAATCCTGTATAATAGTAATATTAATAATCTTGATTGCCACTGCTGCTGCATACCGATGAAGGGGAGGGGTTTTTATTGCTGCATCTATTGTGAGCTGAACACCACTTCACAGAAACCTTTCCATGGCCAAATATGTGGCAGTGCATAGCTTCTAAACTGGGAATTGTGAAAGTGGGATGCAGTGCCAGTATGCAAGTGAACAAAGAGCCACTGAGTATTATCCCTATCATATGCCTGTCTTTTCCTGGTTTTGTTTTGCTACATATAGTCAAAATGCCTAAATTTTGTAAATTTGGGACTGTTAAAATATGGTTGATTTAGATGCAGCCCTCAAGTCAACTTACAAATACAAGTTGGGTCCATTCACGTGGATCACCAATGACCTAGACAATCCAATTCATTAATAATCAATCCAGTAGACCTTCACATGACAATGGTTTATATTTTCTAACAGGGACTGTACTGTCAGATTTTATTATATATGAGCGAATCGAACTCGGCGAAGTGGAATTCGTTTCGAATATTAGAAAAATTTCGATTCGCGCCGAATCCGAAAATTAGCAGACTTCGGATGCGCGCGAATCGAAATTCGCTGACCCATAATGCATTCATTCATGACATGTGATCGCATTAGCCAATCAGCAGCCAGCCAGCCAGCACTGTGTAATGGTGGAGCTATAAATTGCGGCCATCTTACAATTCTCCATTTGCCTCTGGTCATTCAAGAGAGACAGATCTCTCTGTATTAGGGACACAGAATCGTTACTTAGGGACACAGAACGTTACTTAGGGACACAGAACCGTTACTTAGGGACACAGAACCGTTACTTAGGGACACAGAACCGTTACTTAGGGACACAGAAATCGTTACTTAGGGACACAGAACCGTTACTTAGGGACACAGAAATCGTTACTTAGGGACACAGAACCGTTACTTAGGGACACAGAACCGTTACTTAGGGACACAGAATTGTTACTTAGGGACACAGAATTGTTACTTAGGGACACAGAATTGTTACTTAGGGACACAGAATTGTTACTTAGGGACACAGAATTGTTACTCAGGGACACACACAGAATTGTTACTCAGGGACACAGAATTGTTACTCAGGGACACACAG